ACACACACACACAACTCATCTATATACCAGCCCCTCTCGCCTTCTTCATTTGTGGTAACATGGTGTCCATGAGGTTCAGGCCCGTCTGCTTGTCGTGCTTCTTGAGGATCTTGTAGCAGGCCTCGGCGATGCTACCCACCTGGACCCCACCCGTTGTCGACGACGCTGACATTCCAAAAACAATGATCGCCGTTTGTCAAGTCCAAGTCGCTCTGGGTCTTGACCTATCTCTTCGAGGGTTTCCAACGCCCTCGAAGATCTGAGGGTCCAAAGATTTGTGGAACCCCACAGCTACAAGCCGCCCCTGCCAAGCTCCAGCCATGTCCTTTGGAAAATAACAAACGGATCCTCTTCACCTCCAGTGTCGCCGCGGGGTTCCCAGTGTCGTCCCCGTGGCCCCCACCAGCCGCCCCTTTGGGGCAGGCGAGATCCCAGGCGCCGTGTCGTTGGCCTCGCAGAAGTGGGTCAACTCTTGCAAGGTGCCTCCCACGCAGGGAGACGCCGGGGCCGGAGTGACTGGGTTAGGCAGTGATGGATGGAAGGACACCTTTGAAGACTGATCGAAGGGGAAGATGCAAAACCAGAAGGCTGTAGAGGAACAGTGTCCTTCAGGCACACTTTCAAGCTCATGTAGGGCCATCTCTGGAAGAACCACAAATATGGACTGAGACTTCAACAAAGTATTCAAAGAACAGGCAACAACCTGATATACCTGAAAAGAGAGGGGACGAAAGAATGACAGATGCATCTTCGAGCATTGGAAGTCAATTTTGCAAGCCGCTGCTTGAGATGCATTTTGCAGATCGGTGTGGGGGGGACAAGTTCTACAAACTCGTAAAGCGCAGCTGATCTATATAGATACGAGGAATCGGAGCTTCTGGTTGGTGCCCTTCTGCGCTTTGTTTGAGATCCGTCTCGGGGCCAAGAAGAGGGCACCTCTGAAAAAGTCTCCAGTTTCCCCAGAAAGGCAAGTCAGCGTTTAGGTACTGTCTCGGTGCCCAAAAAAATGCTACTTCGGGGAGCCCATTCTATTCTAGTGAGAAGAATCTTATCACCAGAGCCCGCTTTTTGGTGATGCCCCTTTAGTTTTGCCCCAGGCGACCGAGACGCGCATTTCTGCGACTGAAACGCTTTTCTGTGACTCCTCATCTATATAAATCTAGATCTCTGTGCATGGTTCGACTTCACACATCGCTTGACTCGTCTAGACGCATCTCATCTCCCCCGCACAGGAGGTCACTGTGGGAGGATGGAAACTGTTTGCCCGTGACGTTTTGAAGGGCAACTTCGTCCAGCCAAACCGCAGAACAACCAGAGCCACCACTCAACAGAAGGTCCCTCCAAGATTTCCATCATGAGGCTAAGAGGATTGATAGAAGAGATCCCGTGCGATTCAGGTGGTTGATCATGACTGCTCAACATGTGAGCTTTGGATGCAGTATGAAAAAGTGTTCTCCCAAAGCCACTGGATACACACAAATTCCACCCAAATAGTTACTGCCCCTTCTGGTCGATCAACATCGACTCCGCCACACGGTCCGGCAAAAAAGGGTGCCTTGAAGCTCCTGCACCATCATCTGCAAGTGGTTCCGCAGTTGTGGCTCGTGCTCCAAGCCCTGGTTCTGCTGGAGCTCCTCTCTTGCAGCCTCCAATCGATCCTCCACCTGCAGGGGCCGGTTCCAAGTGGAACACCTGACTGCAGGGACCTCTCAGTCGCAAGTCAGTCGCCACTCCCATGGGATCCAAGTCCTTTGATATGCCTGGAAGGGATATAGTGGCAGGTGCTGGTCGGGGATGTTCCCCAATCTGGCGAAAACGCTCGTCTCCCACCTGCTCAGACATCGAAGTGAAGAACTCGTTGGTTCTCTCAAGAGATGCCCGCAGCTCACTGAGCCACTCAGAGCTCACCTGCCACGGTGCACTCCGGCAAAGAAGTCGCCCCGGCGTCACGTCGACCGATGGAAGAAGTAGGTGCATGAAGTAGGTGCTAGCTGTGTTACTGGGCGCCATCCCATTGCTCAAGATACCTTGGGGCGACCAAAAATGGGTTGCCTGGGATTCTTTATAGTGGAACAGACGCGATGCCAAGCATCAGAGTTCGCCTTCAACCTCCGTGTCCAATGCTTCTAGTCTTTGCAAAACCCCTGCATGAACCCTCACTCTGCATCAATTTGCACCCTAGAACAACACCACAAGCAGTTTTGCACTTGCAAATGGGCAAGTTGGGTATGTACCAACACACTGTCAGACAGGTCACCACAAGTGACTTTAAGAAGTATCCTGAGGTGATTGCTATGATAAGCACCTTCAACCTCTCAAAACACCAAGAGTGTCAAACGCGCCAAAAGCTTGAGCCTTCCAAAACTGCTTCCTTTTCTTCTTTTCCAGGGGTGGCATGCATAGCAGAGGGCCCTCTGCAGTCCTCTTTCTAGTTGACCTTCGCACACACCGCTTCAGCGCCATGCCCGGCCCCACACACCCGGCGCCTGGGCTTCCTGATCCAAGATGTCGCCAGTTGGGCTACCGCGATCCTTCAGCGACTTCTTTAGGCCATTGTAATCGATGTAGAACGCATCCCATCCACGAATCTTGTGCCGATCCAACTGCTTGCCAAACTTCATCTCTCCATCAAAAGCATCGAAAAACCGGCCACTTGCCTAATTTCAGCCCAAAGCTGCAGCAAATGTGAGGCACACATCAAGGCACACATGACAGAGAGAGAGAGAGAGATATAGAGAGAGAGAGGGAAATGGATATATATATATATACACACACATAAGTAAAATAAAAGAGCGTGTGTCATATAACCAAAGTTTCCAGCAGCTCAACAAAAGCACCCTCGGTTTCACAAAGGTATGACAAACAAAAGTGGCTTTGAGCCCCTTGGCGCCCACCCTGATCTTCCCACACCTCGACTGGCGCTTGCGCCACTGCTTTCAGAGGCCCACCCAGTGCAGAAGTCTTCTCAACTTGCCCCATGTACAGCAAAACCAAAGCCTACAGTGGCCTACAGCCTACATAAGTAGATCGCCCATCAATTCCCCTAACAAAGCCTTCACAAAAAGCGAATAGCATATATACTATCTTGTGTATACATGTTGCAGGGAGTCTCGCTTCGCTCGCTTCGTCGCACCTCTTCCGTGTCTTCAGCCTCGGCGACTGGTCCATGGCACTGGCGTCCTGGGCTGACCACCTCAGCGTTCGAGAACCCGTGTGCGCGGAGAAAACCCGCGCCACGTGTTCTCACCGGGCAACGCGGGCAAGGTTCTGGGGAGCCCCGGCTCAACCCCTAACTCTTCCTCAGCAAAGTCTGCCTCGGTCCAAGGCAGCTCCTTCCAGCGCTGGAAGCCACCTGGGTCGGATCCCCTGCCGGGTTTTTGCTCGGTCCCGGTGCGAGGAGACCTTGAAGGTAGATGAATTGGAGCGAAGGGAACAGCTCTCTGCTTCAAACCGATCCAACCCATGCTAGATGCCACTGGCTTATATGGTGGTGGTTTCGGTGGGGCAAGAGTGAAAAGAAATCAGTTGTGCGAGTTTCCAGTTTCATTAAATGTTTTCTTGGAAAGGACCATCTACCCGGGCTGTGGACCCCCCCTCTCTGGAGAATCAAAAGATTTGGAGTCTTGGAGATCTTGAACCACTTCCGCCACCTTGGGATCTGCGGAGTGTTTGAAACGTGCGGGCGTGGAAGCACAAAAAATAACAACTTGAAAGAAGATGAGGCAGCAGGAGCACTCACCACCCATGAAATTGGCAGCAGAGGAGAACTTGAAGAAACATTTGCCAATGGCCTCCGAAAACTTTTCAGAAATTCTTTTTGACTTCTTACTGGCTCCGTGTCTTTCAGCCGGAGGGGACCTGCAGAAACAACATCCGTACGCAGCACCGAGGAAAAGGCGCAAGACGCGCCTTTCCTAATACACCAGCGGAACCACCACATGCCCAACGGTCAACAACGCAACGCGGCATGAAAAAACCGGGAACCCAGAAAGAGAACACCATAGAAAGACCTTCCGTCTCCTAGTAACAAAGCCTTTAAAGGGCATTGCTTCTAGTGACCAAGGGGCATTACGACGAGTCGTAGCACGAGTCGCTGCGCACGAAGCTGGGTGCGTCGCTGGTGGCTGGGAGCGTTTCGGGGCCCCGGCGAAGCCCATCCTCACGGTTGGCCTTCCAGACCTCACGGGCTGCCCGCTGCCGCTCTGCAGGAGTCAGGTACACCTGCAGAACGGGAGTCATGCCTTTTTGGAGGAAACCTCGTTGCAGAACACCTCCATTTTGGACAGAGAAACGGTAGGACAGTCCCCTTTTCCCGTAGACTAGAGTAGCTTGCCTTCTGTGGAATTCAACTGTAGAACACGTCTGTGAAAGGCATAGGGGCTGAAGACGGCATGTTGCCATCAAGATCGGAAACGAATGACGGACGTCGGACGACGGCAAATGGTCGCGCATCCCTCGGGAAGTTTGGCACATGGCCCACATCGCCACAAGGACCCGCTGTGCAGAATGAAGTTGGTGTGATCCCATTGTCACGCCCTTCCCTTCACAAACTCTTTGCGCCAATGATGAGGTGTTTCTAGTAGAAAAGCCGTCTTCGGCTTGGAATGTACCAAAAAAAACAAAAATTGTATGGGAAGCCCTCAATGGACCCCGGAGATCATGGACGTGAATATAGCCGTTGTTTCTCGTTGTTTTGTTGGCCAGGGGGGTGTTCCGCTCCGTTTGCACGGACACCGCGGGGGTCAAACCCACCCGGCCTCCAGCGGATCGGATCCTCGAAACCAGGAGGCCGGCAAGGACTCGCCTAGGGAGCAGCCGATCAATGTAGAAGTGTGTATTCTACGGTATATACATATTGCAATATGCAAATGTATACAGTATCTACATTGTATTGTATACAGTGTGTTATATATACATTACACCGTACATGCCTGATCCCTCTCTGCAAAGTTCGAGGTCTCTCTTTTCTCTGTCGGGGGGGCACCTCCGGCACCTGGTCTAGAAAAATCTTCTGAACTTCCACTCGCGTGTTTCAACGGGTGGCACGTCTGGCACAGCACCGCTGCGGCCAACGGCATCTGATGTTGTTCCGTCACACTGCCGACAGTTTCCATGAGTCTGACCCCACCCTATCCCCACCTCCCCACCTCCCACATAGATGGAAAACGCTCCACCACACCGTGGCGCTGCTTCCCGACCGGGCCACGCATCTCGCCGAAGATCTGCTTCTTGCTGCGTGCGTCGCTCTCGCCGGCGGCCTCTAAATAGGCCCGGTAGTAGCCGAGCAGTTGAACCTCAGGCCGACCAGGCGTCAAAAGGTAGGACTACGTAAAGACAGGGCCCACAAAACTGACAAATAGGTAGAGATCCAACTCAAGATATAGCTGTGGGCTACCACAAGGAAGCAAGAGAAGCAAGAACGAAAGGGGTGGCTCTTCAGGTGCCATGGCTTTCACATGCTTTGAGCCTTGCCCCATAGTCAAGGGCAATGGCAGGCACCCATTTGGGGCGCAGTGCCGTGGCAGTCTTGACGCCTTCTCCGAAGTCAACCATGACTGAACCTGGATACAACATCACCAGCCTGTATGGTGCCTGTTCCCTGCCATCCTTGGATTCACCAGCCGGAGCGTGCGGACCCCCCGGACCGCCCTAGGCCGTCGGACCCGCAAGTCCTCCCAGCGTCGCGGCTCCGCCCGAGTCCACAGCAACTCCTCGCTGAGCCGCACGGCGTTCGACCCGAGCCGAGCCGAGCGCGATCGGCGATCGGGGGAGAGAGATGGGAGACAACGGTCGGAAGAACGGGAGCAGAGATCGTCTCCATCCCATCCGGACATCATCTTGGCCGAGACAGGATCGCTTCTATGTCAAAAACGAATGAAGTGAAACTGATGTGCAAGACATTCCTCATTAGGGTTCGAGCCTCCTTGGTGGTCATGCTGCATAATGGGAAGTCCATACAAACCTTGACATTGTCAATATTTGACAGTATGATTGTTCAAAGGGGTTCTTCTCTGATGCACATCGTGTTGTTCTCCTATCCGACTTGGCTGCTCCTGAGCTGCAAAAGTCCAGCTACGCCAGCTTCTTTGGCTGGGCTCTGGTTCCGCAAGGTCCTCGCATTCGTTGGATGAAGGCCATGAAGGCCCGACGGGCTGCGCTTGTGCAGAGGTCTGTCTAGAGTCTGAGGAAAGGTGTCTGCCCAGAGGCCGTGGTGAGAATTGGCTAGGAGAAACCAAAAAATAAGGGCTGCAAAAGTCGCCCCTCACTGAGGAAACAACTGCCACTCGGCCACAGCCTCTCCTGGTAGGAAGGCAGCTCCTCCACTTTGGCAGACACTACCTCACCACTGCCGCCAGGAGAGGAGGCACCTAAAACCTGACCACTACGAGTAGCTGAGTAGCTTTTCCCAAGTCAACCTCCATGAGTCCACCATGACCATGACCGCAAGACTTGGCGATGCTCTTGGCCGAAAGAGCCCGGCTAGAGCAGAACACTTGGCCACCTCCTCAAGGTCCCGAAAGAACAAAAGGGGCGCTTCTGCCTCTCCTCGCTCCAAAGCGTGCCTCACCTCCGGCCAGTGGTGCCGAACTCGAACCCTGGAAGAGTGCCGAACTTGAACCCTCCGCCCCATGAAGGCCCTCTTCAGGCCGAGCGACTGCAGTGAGCGCCTTGGCCCGTTCGTCCTCTGCGATGTGGCGCACGCGCTGCGCCTCCACCTGCAGGCCGAGACGAGACACAGACCGATTGAAAATGATTGAAAGCGGGGGTGAGGACAAGGGCAACCACTAACTAGTGATGGATTCTGCAGTCCCATCAAGTACATTTAGACTTGGAGAATGTTATCATCAGGTCTTGGCCCCAAAGGTTAGGGCTTGCTCCACTTCAATGGACGGGGCCAATGCAACAAAGCCTAACTTCACCGCTGTCGAGGCCCAAAAGCAAGGCTCATGGCGAATGTGGCGTCCTTCATCCAACGAAACTGGGTGACTGTAAAAAGGAGACCCTCTTTGAGGGACTCCCCCCCAAAAAAAAACAGAAGAATATAACAAGAACTGGTGCAACTGCTTTAGCTATCTCTCCCTCGGGGAACGAACCAGAACGTCCTGGACCGAAAGAAACGGAGCCACCGTCTACAACCAACAAAGCACCAAATCATCGGGTATAGTGGTCCCCAAAATAACGAACCAGAACTTCCTGGACCGAAAGAAACGGAGCCACCGTCTACAACCAACAAAGCACCAAATCATCGGGTATAGCGGTCCCCAAAATAGATAGAAATATCGTAGAAACGGTGTCCACATGTGTCCACTCCATGTTTAGTGGGGATCTACTTCGATTCCCCCAAAAAACGTAAAAGAAACTTCAGTGCCGTCTGAACCCTCCTGGCCTCTTCGAGACCTGCAGAGACGGCCTCCCAAAGCCTCGGCGTCCGACCGTCTGGCAGGATGTTGCTTTTCTGGGGGAATCGAATTGAATGGAATTTAATTCAAAAGGAACTAAATAGAATAAGATAGAACAAGATACAGCAGGCAGATAGATCTCAAAAGAATATCATATTGTGTCATTGTATATAGGGCAATCGGGATTGTGGGCCCTGGACATGTTAACCGTATAGATTTTTGCATTGGCTACGTCCGCTGCTCTCCAGAAGGAAACGCACACTGAAGGTTACCGATCGATAGTTTCACAAGCATATGTAGGGCAAAAGAAAAACACAAGAGTGTGTCAATTTATCTGACATGTCCCCTCTGGAGTCCAGCCCCACTTCGCGTGTGAGGCTTCACACATCAGAAAATCCTGGCACATGGCAGGCCCTTGTAAACTTATCACTCATCCAAACCAAAAGCTCACCGACCGCAGACCAGAAAAACAGCGGCGCACCCAAACACAATGGAGGGACAACAAAGGCCTGCATCCCACTCCGCCTTGCACGTTGAAAATGAAAATGGTTGCCCCACTGTGAAACATCAGACCCTCATTCGGGTTGCAGTGGCCTAATCCATCACCCTCTCAGCCCTTGTTACTAGTAGCGATGCCCTTGTTACTAGTAGCTTCTTGCTACTAGTAGTAAATGCCAGGAGCTACTAGTAGCTTAGACTTCCTACATGTTTGTTTCACATGAACCGGGTTCGTTTGAGACCCAAAGCGCCCAACGTGCCCACCATTGAGGCCCGGCAGCAAGTCCAAGTCGTCTGCAGCCTCGCGTGGCAGAAACCACAGTTATATTGAGCAACCTCCCCATCTCCAAGAGCTCTCAACCAGCTTTCAGGACCCAGCCGTGGCCACCCATACAGAACAGCATCGTTTCAAGCCAGCCAGTCCCTTTTCTGCCGTGTGGGTCATCCCAATCACCTCCCCCCACAAGCATATCACTGATCGCCACTGAGCATTGGAGCCGCGACATCTATCAGGCTTGGGACTAGATGTGCAACTGTAGGATCAAGCGGAAAGGGCTGGGAGCCCATCAGCCTTGCAACTTTGAGCGTGAGATGACCTCAGAGCAATGCAATTTTTTAGGGCTAGGCTGGAACCTCCATCCAACCCCTAAAGCAGAGTGTCAACCTCCCAGCCAGTCAAAAAATATCACCCCCCAGAACTCCTCACAAGGATCCCTTGCCTGCTCCCATGCTCGTCTCCGCGCGACGCACCACGACGCACCACGACGCACCACGACGCACACCGACGCACACGCCTGCAGCTGCTCGGCCAGGTTGGCGGTCGCAAAGCGCCGGAAGGCCTTCTCTGTTTTGGGTGCCTAGGACGAAGGGGCGGTGTAGGTTGACTCCGAAGGCAACCGCTAGGGCCACGTGGAAAGAGGTAGGAAACCCTAACATTTGGGGAGAGAGGTCCAAAAAGAAACGTCCAAAATGTCTCTTCGGCGTTCGCGAAAGCAACAGTTCCATGTCTTGGGAGTTTTTGTGCGCTCCACCCGGCTACCTTATGGAGAGGCCTTCTGCGCCTCGCACATATGCAGGAAGGGGTCCATTAGGTTACAGGGTGGTTCGACCTCTGCTAGGGGTCCCTCGCCTGCTCGAACTCAAAGAGGTGATGTAGGAGCCCCTTCACCCGCTTGCACGCGCTCGTCTTGGCGGCACGCAGCACCGCATGCCACGCCTGCGGCCACCGGTCGGGCCATGACCACTGGCGACATGAGCCCGACACCCTTTGGGAGCCCGGCACGACACGACCTGAAAAGGTGAAAGAATGAAACGTGGTGATGATGTAGCACGGTCTTGCAACATCTTTCAACCACGTTCCTCCTTTCTCTATGCACGGACTGCGTTGTAGCTCTAGCTGACCCACTCCCACCAATGCACAGGGCGCATCCGACAAAGGCGTGGCCGCGGCCTGCTTGTCCACCACAACGCCATGCGATTCGCACCATTCCAGCCACTTCTGCCAATAGGGGTCCTGGCGATTGTCTGTGTCCAAAAAGCTGCAAAAAAACACACATGCATCTGCTTCAAGAAGGTCAATCCTCTACCTGCGATGCCTCCTTCCATATCTTCAATGTGTTTGCTTTTTGTGCTGCCCCACGTCCTAACATACAGCAGCTCAAATCTGAAACCCTACATACGGTCCTCGGTTTTCTACTACACCAAGTTCAAGTGCCTAACTTCAACTGCTAGACAACGAGTTTCTTCAGGTCCAGTCACGATTGTCACCTGCTCCACCCCGAGCTGGTCCTTCCTCAAAGTAAAGCCGTTCCCCACCACAATGAGCCCCCGGCGCGCCCGGGTGAGCATCACGTTGAGCCGGCGCCAGTCGGCCAAAAAGCCCACTCGGCCGGCAGGGTTGTTCCTGGCCATCCGCGCGCACGAGTGCACGGGTTATATACATGAAATGACATGGCCTGGAACAAAGGACCTGCTCTTCACGGAAGGGCAGCTGCATCCAAGGCTGCAGAAGTGAACAAAATCAACAGCCAAGTCATGACGATGACGTTAGGTGGTGCAAAATGATCTTCCATCAACTGTAGGACTGTAGGTTGATGATGGTTGATGCCAGCGTCTGGCCTTTTCATCGGCCACCGGGCGGGAAATTGGAGCCGGGAGGAATCCATGAGTTGCCCAAGCTCATCCCCACAGCGTTGAATCAGTGTGTTCACCAAATATGTTTTAATAAAACACATGGTCTTGGCGCGTTTCCTCCCTTGCCAACGGTCCGCGGGGTCATCTTCTTCTTGCCACCCGTGGGGCTGAGCATGTTCAAAGTCCGGGAGGAAACATGTCAAGTGACCCTTATTGTCGCCAACATGATGATACCCAGCGGAGCTTCAGGTCCTGTGGAAAAGACATCTGGTTGGAACTTGGAACCCGGAAGAATGTGTAGCGCCTAGACACGTTGGCCCCACTCCCTGAAACGAAGATCATCGCGGAGAGAGCGGTTTGTTACGGCTTGCGTCTATACAATCCTCCGCACGAGCAAGATGATCTCATGTGGTGGTCAGCCTCTTTCTATCGGTTTATTCATGGTCAAATCATCTTCAGCTTGCTCTCGTGTCCTCATCCTACCACCTTAGAAATTGTCCACCTACTGCCTTCACCAGAAAACACTGGACACTCCTGGACTGACACGACGTGAACGGCGCGGCCTCACCGCCGAGAAGACAATGAGTTCCTTCTCTCGGCCTTGGAAGTTGTCAACGCCTCAGACGTGGCACTGCGGCAGCCAACGGAGGTTATATAAGTGATTTGACATTAAGTGCACCCGTCCACCTGGGTACCTATGGGATAGTCGAACAGTGTTCTGAAGAACCTCTGTTGCAGCACTCCAGGTGCAGACCTGGGAGGTCTCTCTGTGCATCGAGCCGGCGAGGCCCGAGCGCGATCCAGAGGGCGTTTCTTGGCCGCAGGGAGTTCGATGTGTCCATTGGGTTTCGGTGTTCCGTTGTTCCATGTGCAGTGGGAACCACTTCGCCTGAGCTTGGCGGGTAGCGTTCATTCAAGCAACAGGCACAGTTAAAGGATATAGGGAAACCACCAGTGGGATGTCAGGATGGAGCGTTCATCACGAATCCAAGGCCCACTAGATCTCGATTTGAAAGCTCTACCAGTCGACAGCCCCTGCAGCCTAGCCACTTGCGATTTCCAAGGTGCCTCCGTGGCGGTTTTGGAGCAGGACTCCCGAAAGCATCCAGGCCAAAGGAAAACTCAACGAACATCCACATCAAAGGGTGTTGACTCAGCATGTGGACAAGGCACGAGGCTGCTTTTTCTTCTTGCCTTTCTCCTGGGCTTGTAGATCTGGAGATGTCATGAGATTTCCAGATGGCACTATTTCAAGCAACAGTGAGGCGGCAATCAGGCAGCTTATTTGCCTCGATGGCAGCCCAAAACACGATGGCAGCCCTACAAAAATGCCGGATGGCGGATGGTTTTTGTGGGCGTTCCATGCCTGCCACGCGCGGACCTCTTGCGGTTCTCATACCTTCCCAGAGGTTTCAACCTCATCCCCCGTCCCATCTGCTCCTGACAGCGGTTCCGCCAAAGCATTCGCAGCAAGCGGACTTGAGCCATGTAGGGCGTGATCACACCGACATCTTCCGCGGAGCACCCCGCTTCCAACACTGACCTGGGCTCTCGGAACGGCACGGGCTCGGCTCGCGCGAGCGGGGAGGTCAAGCTGTCTGTAGCCTGCATCTGCACAAGCACATCAACCCACAGCGATCTGAGTCGGGCACTCAATGATCTGCAAAACACGCTCTGCTTCGGCCTGGTTCATCTTGGACTCATACTCGACGGACTCTCCTCGGGCAGATCTGTTTTATGCAGGCTGAGTACTGTAAGCATTCTTACAACACCCGGCAAAGCCCTCGATGCTGGGAGCCAATGAAAAGCCCACAACGTCACAACCTCCACCGGGCCCCCTTACCCTGAACCCACTCGATTGTGACGAATGGTTGGTTGACACACAAATACAACATTAACAGTATATATATATATACATATACATACTATACAGATATCAAGCAACAACCCTGAAGTGATCAGACCGTGCCTGCGCCATCTCATGGCATGTCCCCATGACCCTGCATATTCCGTCCACCCTTTCCGCCCCACGCGCGTGACTGACTCTCCGAAGGGCCCGCCCAGCGGCCCATCTCCACAAAGGCCACGGGCACCTCCGGGCGAGGAGAGTCCACCCAGCTTCACGATGGTGGTGGTTTCAAAAACTATGTTTTTTTAAGAAAAGCTGGGTGACTGGCAAGGGGGCCCATGAAAACCAAACATGTGTTCAAGGAGTTCAAGGGCCGGCAGCGAGTCAAGAATTGATTCGGGTGGGTGGCACATGTTTTTCCAGGCGCTGTGGTGTGTAGAGGCTGTTGGGGGAAGTGGTTAAAGACAAATGCTAGGATATCCTACAGGAGACTGTGGGAATCGGCGTGCAACTTGGAATCGCCTCCACAACCATTTATTGAACCTGCGCTCGCCGGCACACACCCACACACTGGTACTCACTGACTCCCTCCCTCTTTTCCAATGATAAAGTACCATCCTCTTTGAACATCAGACTCTCATGTTCCAACACGTGCACTGCACAGACTGCACCCTTTCCGGACTAACAGTGGCTTTTTTCCAAATGGCCCCCCGAAGCGCTGCCGCTTTGCCTTCTTCTTCGGCCACTCGAAGCCCTTGAGCGGAGGCCGGGCGGCCTCAAGGATGCCACCTCGGTGGAAGCGGCTGGACGAGACGGTGATGCAAAAAGCAAGTCACCGCCATAGGGATATGAAAATCTGAAAACCAAAGAAAGACGGGTGGAGCCTGGAACAAATGATGATTTATCTATCTGCGACTGCACGTCCATGGCCCCGATCAAAAGTCTAAGATGCTACTTGCGAGGTGTCCTCCAAAGCTTCCCAATCAGAACCATAGCCTAGCTGCTAGGCCTGGCTGCTTCATGGATTGCCAATTTGCTTTTGAACTGGGCCAGCCCCTGGGTCCAACCCACCCCACTCTACGGAGGCAGAGCGGCTCTGCAGGCGGCCCTCGTAGATGCTGCCGGCCACCCATTCCATGAGCTTGGGATGCGCGCGAAACTGGGTATCCAGGAAGTAGGGCTCCAAACCCTCCTCCGAAGCTCAGCTTGGAAGTGTTTGGAAGCTGGAGCTGCTCTTCAGAGGCGCCCTAACTCCAAATTGAAGACTAGAAAAGCCCGAAGTGCTGGGTTGCTAAAGTGGACATAAGTGGACGATGTTTTGCTAGGGGGTATTCACAGAGGGCATACTTCAAACCACTCCAGCTGCACGTTTCGTCGCCCCCGTCCTTCACCAGCCTCCCATAGAGCGACAAAGTCAGCCCTGGCAGATGGACCCCTCAAACCACCAGGGTTCAGTGGAGCAAAGAAGCCTTCTCCATGGTTTTTCGGATGGGTTGCAGTGCCCGTAGTCGCACCCTAGGCGGTTAAGCTGGCCGCAGCTTATGTGAAAAGGGACACGGAAACATCGAGGTGAATCCACCAACCTTCGGCTCATGGCACATCAGTCCGATTTGGGAGGAGCTTCATCTCAGCGAATCCACCTACCCTCCTTGCCACTGCCCACGCCTCGTCGCTCCGCCTCGGGCGATTGCACCGTGGGAGGCAGCTGACCTTGCGCGCAGTTCGATGGATGCGCGCGGGCTGCACGTGCGAAAGGGATGCGGGAAGGTGTCAGGTGGGATGCACATGTTGAGAATCATCATCCTGATTGGCCTTGGAGCGGAAAATGAATTTCAACTCCCAAGTGCTCAGAGCTGCCAAGAAGCATCGAAAGCAACTAAGTAACTATATACATTTCTCAACCTCAACAAGATTGTCACTTAAAGTGTCTTCACTTCCTTCGAGGTCGCCTGAATCTTCAAACAGCTGGCCACAAAGGTAGCAAGTCGTATAAGCCACTCAAAGGCTCAAGGGTTGCATGCGAATCAAAGTCTCGATTTGCGTCTCACGTGGTGTAACGACTACCCAGAAGATGTCCTCTACAAGCTGTCAATCAAACACGCGAGCGGCACTGGACCAAACCAAACCACCCTCTGAATGGATGGATCTGCGGATTCTGCCAGTACACTCAGCAGATCCCATACGACCACCAGCTTACATCAGGGCTGCTACACAGTACCTACGGTATCTAATACCTGCGCACCCTATGACACCACCCCGGCAGCATCCCGAACACACCGACCCAGACAGCAACTCTTCGGCCACCGAGGCACAATGGTCTCCTGCTAAGACCAAACGCTCGCAGGCGCGCTGTACCTGGCGGCATGTCTGGCCAGACAGTGAAGAAGGCACGCAGAAAAACATCACAAGAAGGTCAGTGTTCAGGGCTAGAAGTGTTTATATAATTGCTTTTCCCAGTCGTGGTTGCGCACACAGCTCAGGAGGAGCTCAGGCAGGCAGTTCATCTGCCACACCCAACCCCCAAGTAGAAGCGAAAAAACTCCCTCACCGACCAAGTCAGAGAAATCGAATCAAATGGTGCCCCTATTCCCTCAGCACGCTACTGGAATTGAACTGTGTATGTGTGCATCAGTGCAGTTCCGGGAGATCATTCATCACGGCCCGCGCGGTTCTTGTTCACCCAGGATACTGGTCGTATCATCCAAGCCAAGGAACGATCGGGACAATTGACACCAGCTCCGTGGCCTGTGCCTCAGTTCTGTCCAGACTCACTGATGATCACAGCTGGGACATCGACGCCCAAGGGCGAACAAACAACGTTGCATACACAGGCAGCCGGAGGCCAATACCGATGGCACAGGCATCTGAAACTACAGCTACCAGCAGTTGCCCATAGACCACCACCACAGGACCATCACGCGCAAACAATGGACGAACCAACGGCCAACAAAATCCAAGCTGCAATTTCATCGATCAGAATGCCCTTGAAAGCACCAAACCTAGCCGCGGGCTAAGCATAGTTGTGAGTGCTAGGCGCTGGGTGTCATCGCCCGATCTTTCTTTATCGGGTAAATAAATGAATCAGTCAGCCAAACCCAAGGGAAGCTGTGTTTTCGCCAAGGAGCTTCGTGAATAGATTGCCGCCCGCAGTGATCAGCCTCAAGCACCAGTGCAAAACAACGCGGGAAGACAGTGATGCAATAAGCCAAGCTGTTCTTTGCATCTCTACTCAATGAACAGGCTGACGACACACAGCCAGGTACACCCACCCAGGCCACCCAAGGCCGACCCATTGGGGGGGTGAGTCCTTGCCCAGTGACTGGGCACAAAGGATGTCTGCACCTTGCAGGACCTGTGCAAAAGACGGAAAAGACGCGTCGTTTTCTGCGTAGGTGGAATGAAACAAGATAGAAACGAGCTTCAACCATACGGTATGTATAAATATAATATATATATATATATACACATGGGAGATAGCTTATAGCTATCTGTTTAATAAGATTTACCGTAATATCGATCATAAGGGGAGATGAAAGTCTACCTCTACTGGGGAGCCTTGAGCCGAAAACCCAACCAATTCCTTCCAGGGAATCACCGTCGCTTCAATGCTCTTCACTCATCGATGCGAGTCTCACCGCACATGACCCATGTGGTTGGCCCCACCCACAGCATGTGGAGGAAAACGCCTCCATTTGGATAGCAGCGTCTTCTTTTCTAGTCTGCAGCTTCAATCTCCTTTCCTCTGCTTCCACCTCTGCCGGAGATCCTGAGGCGTGCCGCACAAGCCCCACCAAAAACAAGCAGGCTTGACCACCCAAGCAGCGACACACGAGCCATACATCTTTGCGCTGCCTCACTCAGATTGTTCTTGATCTTTCGCAGCCTAGTTCGCAGCCTAGTTGTGGATCCCAGAACTGCGTTCGCCCTTCTCGCCGGACCGTGTTTCACCGGCCAGGCACCACGAGTCCCGTCCACCGATCTCGCCCATTGCGGGCTCCACCCGTTGCAGTCGGGCGTCGGGCGGCGCGCTCGGCCACCTTGGCCTCCTCCTTCCGCGCGGCCTGGTTTTCGGGGAAAGAAACCCACTCCCGGTTGGCCTGCCCTAAGGGCCTGACCCATTTCATATTGTTTTTTTGGGTGGTCTTTTTGGTCTTTGACTTTGCCATGCCTTGTGGCTTTTGTTTCTCTTTCGTTTCTCCTGTTCTGTTCTTCTTTCTGTTTGATGTTCCGTGTCCTTTTCCTCGGGAACGACAAAAAAATGGGCCCGACCTCGGCCTCCACCATGGCGTTCAGCACCCTGTCCAGCGCAGAGGCTGCGGTGAGTCCTCAACACAGGGTGGCACCTAGGAAAACCCCTCCGAAGCTGTGGAAAGAAGTCCCATACACTCCATGGGACTGGAATATATGCCTACATTGACCCCCCTGGCACCACCCCAACTGATCGGCATATATGGCAGTCCCATGGGTCCCGTCTGAGAGTAGGAAAACCGCCTTTTAGGCCCTTCAGGTGCTGAATAATCCATCCCACTCCAATTTTGGGCAAGGTAGAGGGCGCCATCAAGATGGCAGACACGACTCACTCCGTGGCGGGCACGGCGGGTGACACGACATGCGGGTGTCAGAGGAGGGCCGATGGTGGCAGATGGTCATCACATTCATCCACTGGATGTGGAACATGCTGAGAGGCTGGCCACCTTTGCATAGAAACACGGTGCGTTCGACCGACACATTGTTGTCAGAAAGCTGGCCATACTCGTTGCCCTAGCATTCAGCTTCACTTCTCCATCCTTCCCCCCCCGGTCGTGTCGTCCTGTTCCCTCAGGCGTCAGGTCTAAACCTCAGCCCGAGCACGGCGGCACGGCTCCAGCCGAGAAAGCCCTCCAAACCGCCCTGGGAGGCGTTCTTCGACTCAAAGAGGTTTGGGACGGTTTTGCGGGGTATGTCCAGGTGGTGAAATTAGAGCTGTAAATACTGTAAATACAGATTAACAGTATATAGTCTGTATAGTATATTTATGTTTATTTACAGACTATTGGTAGTCCGTATGGCCGGTATAATGCTGAAAATAAACTATAGTCTGTCATTCAACCACCCAATTGAGGCCAAAATGGTATACGCTTGTCACGATTGCTAATCTTCAATTGGCCCACCTCAGCAACTCCCCAAACAAAGTCGCACACAAGTTGAACCTGAAAAGCCAGCGGGGCATTGTGATCAAGCCAGCAGGGGCCTGCGTGCCAAAAACAATGATGGGTCACTTCAGCCAACTTGAGCAGGCGGCTAGGTTGGAGGCCATCGCCACTAGGGTGGCGGCCATCGCCACTAGGGTGGCGGCCATCGCTACTAGGTTGGAGGCCATCGCTACTAGGGTGGGGGTCA